GGCCCAAGGATTGGGTTTAAATGAAAGAATTATTGGGCTTTAAAACATCCGTAGATCTTTTAATTAGGTAAAGATATAAAGATAAACCTTTTTTTAACTTCTTTAATTCCACTTTGTTAAGGGAAACAAAATTAGAAATAATAAAAGAAACACAAAAAAACGTTTTATAAGGCAGACTGTACATTAAATGTATAGTTTGACTTATAAATTTATTAAGTTTTTTTTAATGAAATAATATAATAAATAATTTCATTAAAGATGTTTTAATAAATTTATAAGACGAATATCACTTTTAATATGTAGTTCTATTGTAATGAATCCCAAATAATAAAAAGAAAGTAAGAACAATAAAGACAGTGCCAATAAATGGGAACCAAAACTTAGAGAAAGAAAACCATATTTGGTAGAAAATTATTTTCTCCAAAAAGTAGCGACGTTAATGTTGGACCTTCTAAAAAGAAGGCCAAAATAATTCAAGAGTCTTTAACTCCTCTCCATTCATCACTTTCCTACAATTGCTTGCAAGTTTCCTCGTTTACATTTGCTTGACCACATTTGTTAAGTAAATGTGGAAATTGACAAGCAATAAATATGATGCATGTATATGCCAATATATAATATAACGTTCATCATTTTCCTGTAATTGCTTGCAAGTTTTCTCGTTTACATTTGCTTGACCACATTTGTCAAGTAAATGTGAAAATTGACAAGCAATAAATATGATGCATGTATATGTCAATATATAATATAACGTTCATCACTTCCCTGTAATTGCTTGCAAGTTTTCTCGTTTACATTTGTTTGACCACATTTGTCAAGTAAATGTGGAAATTGACAAGCAATATATATGATGAATGTATATGCCAATATGTAATATAAGTGTGGAAGAATTTTAAAGTAGGGACCAATTTCTAGATAAATTAAGTCCATGAATGAGATTGTTATAGAAATTTCAAATTAGGAAAGTAGTATGAAAAGATCCACATTTAATGGATCAATAAAAATCTCTTTCTTAAATTCTCTGTAATTACTTATAATTTGTCAATTAAATTTTTATGAAGAAAAATCCTT